TAGTTAATACTTAAAACTAAATATAATATATTTAATACTTGAAACTAAATATAATATACTTAATACTTAAAACTAAATATAATATACTTAATACTTAAAACTGAGAAAATGTTGCAATTTTGGGACAAAAAGTTCTCGACGTGCGTGACAAGTCATTCCAGCGCAAGAGATTAATCATCGAAGATTATGACGAACATAATCGTGGTGGAATTGTCGGTTCACAGAAGGATTCAATCGTTCAATCGATTCTCGTTCTTTATTATTAATATTTTTCTTTATCGTTAATATCTCATGGGCTTTATGTAACTTTGTTCGGAGTAATCGTGTAAAGGGTGGCTTGTGTGTTGATAATTTCGTTAAGTCAAAGCGGGAAAGAATCAGCAGAACAGCGGTGAAAATTTTTAACGCGTTTAAGTTTCAATTAGCAATACTGTGAAATTTCTGCATCCCCGATTTCTTTTTAATTCGATAGAATTGTTTCGGAGCAAAACCACCCTTCATGCGATTATTCCGTGCAATTTCACGTTAAACGGAATTTTAAAAAAACTGAGAATACATATGCAGAATACATATCGTTTGTTTTATTGAAACTTTAAAAAATTGTAAAATACTTTTTTGTAGTCTTGATTATTGCTCGCTGTCAGAATCATCCAAAATTACAAAGAGGAAAACCAAAAGCGAAACAATAATGAAACAGAAGAAGTCGGTAACGATGAGGGAAAACAATGCAATGCTCGACTAAAGCAGATTTAATTCTTAAATGCAAGTAATTCCTCTGTTTTATGATTTGGCGCGTTGTACGAAGAATCGCGTTATATAAAAACAGCAGTCGCCATTACTTTGGCGCGTTATAGCCTACTGTACACGGTCGAGAAATCACGAAATAAACTTACGAGAAAATTACGTTTCAGTTATTGTGTAAATTCTGTTGGACTTTTCATCGTTATTCCGTCCTCCCGATTTCTTTCGTTTTAATTCGATAAAATTGTTTCGGGGCAACGATTGTTCCAGCCAATTTTCTCTCAAACAAAATTAGAAATTGAGAATACACGGTTGAAAACTCGCGAAATAATAGAAGAAAATTAAATAGTAAATTTTTCTTGTAAGAAAATTAAGCTTCAATTATTCTATAAATTGTGTTGGACGTTTCATTTTGATTCCTTTCATTTTCATCTTCAACAAAGCGCTCGCTCTTCGCCCGTGATTATTTTCACTTTGAACAAAGTTAAAGCTTGAAAACAGGAAAAATAAAATTCTTTGAAACAGAGACAAAGGATAAAGGAATTTAGAAGAATGGTGTTATTTCTGAAAATAACGTATAAAATAAATAATCTGTATCTTATTGTAAATATAAATATACAATAAATATAATAAATATATAAATGTGTAATAAAAATATAAAATATAAATATGCAATAAATATATAAATGTGTAATAAAAATATAAAATATAAATATACAATAAATATATAATGTGTAATAAATGTAATAAATATATAAATATGTAATAAAAATATAAAATATAAATATACAATAAATATATAAATGTAATAAATATATAAATACGTAATAAAAATATAAAATATAAATATACAATAAATATAATAAATATATAAATGTGTAATAAAAATATAAAATATAAATATGCAATAAATATATAAATATATAATAAAATTATAAAACAAAAATAAACATTAAATATATAATAAATTTAATAAATATATGAGTATGTAATAAAAATATAGAATATAAATATATAAATAATATAATAAATACAATAATAGAGAAATGTATATAAAAATAATTTATAAAACGATCGGTCGCGCGGTAAAATTTTCGGGGAAAGGAAGAATTGACGTGCGTTCAAGTGTGCAGGGTTGGTTCAGTGCGTTGGCAGAACCTGTGATCGTTCGACCAAACAAAAGGGTATATCATTTTCGATGGTTGAATGTGCCTCGACTAGTGTGATGGAACAATAAAACGGAGAATTCTCTGCCTCGTGGTTTATACGTTCCCAGTCTCTGCCACGACTGTAGCCGCATTGCGTCAAGCAAAACAAGTGCAGCTTGCAATGCAGAACGCACACGTGCATCCTCGATCGTGCATCCCCGGCAAAACGATCGGCAAATATATGTTCTATTCCGATCTTTCTGTGATCCCAGCCTCGAGCGAAAAAAAAAAAAAGGAAAAAAAATACCAGTCGCTTAATCTTGCTTTTGAATCCGAAATTTGGGTTCCAAGTTTTTTTTTTTCGTATTTTTTTTTATACTTGAAAATTTGAATTTAAATTTGTACTTGGGAATTAAAATTGAAACTTGCCGAATTGAAATGTGAATTCCAACAGACGTCAATTACAATCTCAGCTCGAACATTGAGAATTGATATTCGCGTCTAAATTTGAAGTTTCACAATTTGCATGTGAATTCAAATTATATTTAAAAATACATAAATTTTTATTTGATTTGAATTGCAAGTTCTTAACAAGAATCTGAATTTGATCTTGAGAATGTGAATTTGAATTTGAAATTTGGAATATAAACTTGAGGATTGAAGCGTGAATTAGAATAAATGTTGGAATATGATGTTCAAGACTTCCATCCTGAACATTGAAATTTTCATCTAAATGTGAGATTTGGATTTCACGTTTTATATTTAAATTGTAACCTCTTGGTAATCATTTTGGAGGATGATCTTCAAAACACTTGTCTTCCAATTTGAACTTGAAACACTTGTATAATATAAACTTCGAGATTGAAACATAAATATGAACAACTATTAAAATACGATCTCCAAAATTTCCATTTCAATCCGGACTTGAAGACTGAAGTTTTCATTCTGAATTCGAAATTTGAATTTCACACCTCTTAACAACAATTTTAAAACTTGCATTCCAATTCAAGCCTGACGCTCCCAAATTCCAATTTCAATTCGAATCTGACAATCAAAATTTCCATTTAAACTTGAAATTTCATTTAAATTCGAACTTCTTGGCAAGAGTTTGAAGATAAACATCTCAGCTTGAACTTGAAACTTGAAGACTGAAATGCAAGTAAAAAAAAAAGAACGTGGTCTCTCTTAGTTCCAACAAAATATCAATTCGTGACGGAAACGAAAAGGCCGACTCCTTAGCCAAAGAAGCCAACAACAGACCGAACAGAAGAAGCCAACATCCCAATCCTACACCAAGACCTACCAGCTTCAACGACCAAAGCGGAAAGAGAAGAATGGAACAGAATTTGGACTACGACAAATAGAACCAAAATACACGACATAGCACACCATTTCTATCAAAAAATACCAAACAACAATATAAGCAGAAAAGAAAGGATAGCTATGACTAGACTTCGAATCGGACACTCCAAGATCACACACGAATACCAAAACAGAACCACCTTTCTGCAACACCTGCAACCAACAAATCACCACCCAACACCTGCTACATGAATGCAGAAAATACCGAAACATAAGAAGTGAATACGGATTAAACCAAAACATTGCTCTAATCTGCCAGGAACAACAAAAAAACGTTATCAACTACCTAAAGGAGAGCCAACTACTAGACCAGATACAAAGAGAAAATTCCAGCGCGTCGCTAAAGACCTCGTAGTCGATGCGACTCTAAACCCCCCGTATAAAAGAAAATATATATCAGTTCGAATTTGAAAATTCTTCACGCAAGTGGCCAGCGATAGAAGATCTCGAGGATCGACTTGTCGATCCATTTACCATCCGGAAGTAAGAACAAACGAAGCAAAGTTAGCAATAAGTCCTCTGTCAGAACAAAATGCGTGCCATTTCTTCCGCTCGTGTTATCATTCTCCTTTTGTTCCCCGACGCCGCCAATTTCTCAGTCAAAATAACCTCCTTCTCCTCTTCTTCCTCTGCCGCCGGGCGAATTATCGTCCTAGTAATTTCCAAGAGACGGAACGAGACTAATTTTTTTTGCTGTTGCTCCGGGCGCATGCAACAGAATCCTAAAAAGGACCTATCAGCTTGTACAGATCTGAAACGATAAGAATCCCGTTTGGGAATGGTCGGACAGAATTGGTTAAATCGCGTTCGTATCTGCGCATTATCTTCCTAAGGAAAATACAGGGGATAGAGAAAATTTGCGATCGCCCTATCGGTACGATTCGTTTTCTTGCGAAAAGAATACAGGGTGGGCCAAAAGTTTCTTCTCACCTATTTTTTTTTTTTTTTTTAAATAAAATAGAAATAATAAATATAAGAAAAAATATATATAATATAAAAAATATACAGGGTGGACCAAAAGTTTCTTCTCGCCTTTTTTTTTTAATAAAATAGAAATAATAAATATAAGAAAAAATATATATATAATATAAATATATAGGGAAAATATAGGGGATAGAGAAAATTTGCGATCATCTTATCTGTACGATTCGTTTTCTTGCGAAAAATATACAGGGTGGTAGTTTCTTCTCGCCTATTTTTTTTTTTTTTAATAAAATAGAAATAATAAATATAAGAAAAAATATAATATAAATATAAATATATAATATAAATATATATTGAATAATAAAATACAGAAAAACCTAACTGTGATTAACTAATTTTGAATCAAATTTAAAGTTATAGATTTATTTTAGTGGGAAGTGATCTTTGGTTCACCCTGTACGATCGACGAATGAAATATACAATTATTTTAATACCAAAAATGTACTACGTAACTACATGGAATTGCTTTGTAAGAAAGTAATAAATCAATAAACATAAAAATATTCTCCTATTACGGATTTTTTTAAAGACCAGTCATTTTGTGGTAGAAATAGCTTCGTCAGAATGTCGGTAAATCTAATGTTAATAATTTTTCAATATGTATTAGTAATAATTTCATTGATTGATATTGTTCTGAAATTAATTTATTCAGTAATTACTTTGAAATGTATTACTTACGTTTAGTAATGTGTTAGCATTAATACGAACAATTAATTCCAATAATTTTGTGATGTTTGAAAAGTACCTTTTTTTACGCTTGTTTCAGAACTTGACAATGCAGCAACGCTTCTACTGATTGTGAGAAATCGTGCTTCGATTTAGAAACAGCAACTGTTGGTGAGTGCTCGTATAACGTTGTAATAAAATAAAAGAGATCGAAATTACTAAAATTTACTAGTAAGTGCGAAAATTTACCAATCGAAGATTAAACGATATTAGAAATATTTGATTTCTTTTTTTTTTTTTTTCTTTTTTTTTTTTGCCTAGTAAGAAAATTACGAATGCTTAAGTTTTGCAAGTAATATTAATTAAGTTAAACGACAAAATTATCGATTTTTCAAAAACAAGAAAAAAAATCAATGTTATTTCCTTATGATTTAATTGAATTTGTATACTAGCTGCGCATGTTTGACGACACATAACAATGTCGTTCTAGTAACAGAATGTATAGGATGGGTCAAAAGTTTCTTCCCATCTACTTCTTTTTTTGCTACAAAACATCAAAATACAAGAAAAACCTAATTTCATCAATTGTGAATTAAATTCCATCTACTTTCTTTTTTTTTGCTACAAAACATCAAAATACAAGAAAAACCTAATTTCATCAATTGTAAATCAAATTTAAGTTCAAACATGATTCTTTCATTACGTTTGTATGGTATATACAATTATACAATTCGACGTTTATTAAAAAGCGCCGCAGTTCGATTCAATTGATTTGTGTCTTTGCTTACTGAATGTTATTTATAGTCTTCAAATTTCTGTCCCAAATTTCCCCCCCCCCCAAAAATAATAAATAATATGATAATAGGATAATAAATAATATGATAATAACAAATAAAAATAATCTGTTAAATTACTTCTCAACAATTTGTATCCAGTGATATCATACTGACGAGTTCCAAAAAGAAAACGACGAATATTGTTGTATACGATTTGGTCGCTCGTTATGGTCCGCAATCAGTTGCCAGCGCGTTGTGGTTGAGAATTTTCTATATCAATGATGGCGAATCTATGACCCGCGGGTCAGACACTGACCCACACAAGCTTTTTAAATGACCCACCCGTTGATTTTTATAAACTTATCATCATATATATAAAAAAAAGAATTTTAATTATTTTTCGAACCCTTCTTTTCAAAAAATGTTAAGAAAATTACAAGTGTTCGGTTCGAGCTTGAAAGTGAGAAATAAATGCACAATTGTGTTTTATGGAAGATTTACGACTTGATTATGTGTACATATAGGTATATTAAGTCTTAAATGTTATACGAGTTAGTTGTGTCCAAAAAATTTTATATAGCGCTTACGATTCAATAGATGTAATAAACACTAAAAAAAATACACCAGATCACATTCTCAGAATGGGTAGCTTTGCTAGTTTTTTATATAATAAAAGAGAGAACAGACAATAAAAAATATTAAGAAATAATGTATACATATCTAATGTATAGTGCACGGGTGACTGGGCACGATGTCACCCCTTTTATATCAATTTTTCGACGTCGACATTTATTCTTTGCTCTTCGCTTGCACAAGTAAACGTTGTAAAACAAAAAGGAAACGTAAACTTCTCAGAGGGTTTATAAAAGTGAGAGCCAACAAAAAGTAGTTTTTAACCATCCTCCCCTACCCCTTTCCAAGTGACGCCACTGACTTGGTGACCCGCCAGCTGAACAAAATTTGACTCAACTACTTCTCAAAAAGGTTCGCCGCCACTGCTCTATATCAAGAATATACTTTGTGTTTGTTTTTCCCTTCGGTGTGAATTTTACGTACTTTCTATACATTTAAAAAAAATCTTTTTCCTTCTAGTGGGAAGTGACTTTTGACCCACCCTGTAGATACGCGTGTACACATCGTAAAATCATCGTGCGACACCGCAGCCAAGAGGTTATAACGAAGAGAGTCGATGGAGATCTGCCTCCATTTGCATCTCTCTGTTTGCCGGTGTTCTCCCTCCCTAGAGCTAGACGAAATTTCGGTTTCCGTTTCGCGCGAACAATGGTAAAATCCTGATTCCTTGCCGCGGCAAGAAGTCGAGAAAAGCCGGGGAATTACATGCCGTGTTACAGGATCTTGGGTGAAAACGTGGGAAACCGAGCGACGGTGGGATACAACAGTGGCGCTATTACGGGGGGAGGAAAATCCTCTGACGTTCGCAGATAAAGATAACACGTGTACGTTTGCCCGACCGTGGACGAAATGACGCGCGTGTGCACGCTCCGTGAGCGCGTCCGCTCCCAATCCTCTTATTCCGATGCATTGAAAGCTTCCCGGGCCTTTTCAGTCGGCAACGTTTTCGGACAAACAAAACGGGACGAGTACACCTGATCAGCTTTTTTTCTCCAACGTGAATGCGCGAATGTGACGTCCTCGGTTCGAGGATCAGATAGATCTAAATACAGGGTGGGCGAGAAATCACTTACTATTAAAACAGATCCGTTATTTTCTCTTAATTTTAATTACAGATAATGTAACGTGAATTTAATTTTTATATATTTTTATCGTAATTTTATAAAAATATTTATATATTTATAAAAATATTTATATATTTATAAAAATATTTATATATTTATAAAAATATTTATATATTTATAAAAATATTTATATATTTATAAAAATATTTATATATTTATAAAAATATTTATATATTTATAAAAATATTTATATATTTATAAAAATATTTATATTTATATATTTTATAAAAATATTTATATTTATATATTTTTATCGTAATTTTATAAAAATATTATTGTAATTTTAATTACAAATAATGTAACGTGAATTTAATTTTTATATATTTTTATCGTAATTTTATAAAAATATATAAAATGTATATAATCATTTTATAATAAATGTAACAAATATATATATAATAATTTTATAATAAATATAATAAATATATATATAATAATTTTATATATTTTTTTTAAATTTTTCCTTTTACAGATTTTCAAAACGCGACGAGAAAATCACGAGCTTGAATTTAAATTTAATTTAAAATTAATAAAATTAGTTTTATTAATATATTTGTATTTGATGTTTTATTGAAAAAAGGAAAATAGGTAGGTTTTGGCCCACCCTGTATTTGAGAATGATGGAGGTTGATTTTAATGAGTGATTAGACCCCTGTATGATTATGATTAAACCCGTATGAGTCGCCGTGAAAAATATTTGTCGAGTCGCTGTGAAAAATATACTTTGAAATTTCATATTGAAGATAGAAATACGCGAAAAACGGATGTTCTACAAGGGAGAATAAAGGGATAAAGTTACGCGGGAGGATCTAATCCGAAGGTAGCCGAAACCCAACCTAAAACTCGCGCTGGTAGACAGACGCGCTGCTCTAAATCCGGTGTATTGCCCGAGCCTTGCTCACGAATAAAACGGGGCTTCCCCCACGTCTGTGTGCTGTCTTCGCCTCTAAGAGCCGACCAGAAAAACAGGGAGGTCGTATTAGATTTGTTTGTCTATTTCTGAATTCTCTTTCCCCTGCTGAAGCACCGTCCCTGAATAATTCCCACTCTGATTCGCTTTAAACTCTTCGTCACTCGACTATTTTTTAGCCGCGTTTCATACCTAGATTCAAAATTGCAAACATCAGTTTTGCATTTTGCATTTAGTTTTGCCAGTAAAACCGCGAGTTTCTAGAAAACTTGCAAAAAGATGCAAAATGTTCACCATCGCGCGTGACTAGGACTTTCTATATTTGCTGTAGAAGAGACCAAACGCTCTACTAAATTTAATATACAAGATTCGTGTTTATGTAGATTTCGCGTAGCTCGAAATTTTCTGAAGATTTTCACAAGGATAGCGTTGGCCGTGATAAAAAGTTCACAGGGTAGATAAAAGAAATTTTTAACACAAGATTTTATGGATATCTCTCTCATTCTGTTGTGTGGATCTTGTAAATTTAAATTTACAAATTTTTTATAAATTAAGGGGACATTTATAAAAATAATATTTTTTAAATTAAGAACTCAGGGATTCTTGAATCTCTCACCGAACTCAAAAGATTAGTGATTTGATAAATAATTAATTTTTTAATAAATTCATAAATTTTTTGATAAGTATCATAAATTTCCCTCGCTCAAAAAAAAAAAAAAATACTGTTTCTTAAATTACAGGCCCAGGGATTTCTAGATCTCTCGCCGAATTCGATAGATTAATGATTTGATAAATAATTGATTGTTTTAAATGTTATAAATTTTCTAAATTTTTTAGAAGATTTCTGGATCCTTTCACAAATTCAAAAAATTTATGACTCGATAAACAATTGATATTTTGATAAATATTACAAATTTCTCCCCTCGAGGAAATAATATCTTTTAAATTAACAAGCCCAGGAATTCTTAGATTCCTCGCCAAACTCAAATATTAATAATTTGATAAATAATTGATTTTTTAAGTAAATGTTATAAATTTTATAAATTAGAAGGATTCCTGGATCATTTCACGAGGTCAAAAAATTCATGACTCGATGAACAATTGATATTTTGATAAATATTACAAATTTCTCTCTTCGAGGAAATAATATTTTTTAAATTAACAAGCCCAAGAATTCTTAGATTCCTCGCCAAACTCAAATATTAATAATTTGATAAATAATTGATTTTTTAAGTAAATGTTATAAATTTTATAAATTAGAAGGATTCCTGGATCATTTCACGAGGTCAAAAAATTCATGACTCGATGAACAATTGATATTTTGATAAATATTACAAATTTCTTCCCTCGAGGAAATAATATCTTTTAAATTAACAAGCCCAGGGATTCCCAGATTCCCTCCTCCGAATCTCAAACAAGATTAAGCGATTTGATTCGAGCGAAAGTCGCAGACGCGCGCCCTTTTGCCTCCTAACACGGCAGAACTTCGGCAGAAGCGATAACGTTTCGCGAGGTTCATCTTCAGCCATATCGACACACACGTGCTGGCAACCGCCGGAGGAGAAAAAAAAAAAAAAAAAAAAGAAAAAAAACGAACAAAATACCGCTGGCATCAGGCGAGGCTCGTTAACGCGGTCTGAAAGCGGTTCTGTGCACGACCGCGGTTATTTCCAGCGTATTCAACGTCTTTTTTATGCGCCCCTGTCCCTGAAAGGGATATTAAGAGAAACGGTCTGAGGTCTCACCGGTTGAAAAGGATGTAACCTGCGCGAAACTTGGAACGCTACTTCTCAAAGAATTTTTATTCACCCGCTTCCGCGGGGTGGAGAAAGGAATGGAGCGGCGGAGGGGAAGGGCGAGAGAAGAAACGGAGGAGAAAAAAACACGTGGAGAGGCATAACAGAGCCGGAGGGGGTGGTAAATGTCACTTTCTCTTGCATGCACGTCGTTAACGAGAGGTAAACGACGGCCTCACGACGATTTCAGGCGATCACGTACCGCTACGTGATGAACGAATGCCGTCTCGCAGCCGCGAGTACGTTCGCATTTTTGTTGTAACGCGGTTGGTCGATCCGCGACCAAGAGTGTACGCGGGTTTTTCAGCATCACGTGACGAGAAGATTGTGTCTCACCCTTTTCATTATCACGAAAATGGAAAAGTGGCGAGGCTTTAATTGATTACTTTTTGCCTTACGATTTTTTTTTTTTTTTGAAGTTGCAACATTATGTATCATATGTAATTTTTACTTGTTGGTGGCCAATTTAAAGAAATCAGATTTCAATTTCAAATTAAGGAAATCGAATTCACCTTTATTGGAATTGTAACGTTATGCATCAGATGTGACGTCGTTGAGATGTCGTATGTAATTTTTACTTGTTGGTGGCCAATTTAAAGAAATCAGATTTCAATTTCAAATTAAGGAAATCGAATTCACCTTTATTGGAATTGTAACGTTATGCATCAGATGTGAAGTATTGAGACATTAATTGTTGATGATTAATTGAAATAAATTAAATTTACCATTATTGAAATTGTAACATTATGTACCAGATACGTGAAGTATTGAGGCGTTATATATAATTTTTACTCGTTGATGGTCAATTGAAATAAATCAAATTTACCATTATATATCAGATGCGTGATTGAAACATCAGAGGTGGCCAACTGGCGGCCTTTGCCCCTACCTTTCTGCTTGCTACCCCCTCCATTGCATCTCTCCACTCGCTTGTTAAAGAAATCAACCTTATCGACGTGACCAATTGAAAGAAACCAAATTTAAAATTCAGATCAATGACTGAAATTTCACAAAATGGTTTACTTTCTCTTTCTATAATCGAAATTTTTTATTAAATCACGAGCGTGGTTTGAGAAAAGGGCTTCGAGAAATCGATTGCCTAGGATAACCAAGCAACGATTCGCGGATATTTCTTCGAAAATCCAGTTGGAAGACTCGAAGCTCTTCGTTCTTGTCACAATTATTTACCAGTGTTGAAAATCAACGATCCACGGTAACAAGTGGGAGCCAACGATTCACGAGGTCGTGTACAAAATGGGAGAAGAGGACACGGTAGCCGGCGTGTATAGCTAGCGCGAGAGCGAATATTTATTTACGATCGGCAAAGTTTATTGTCTACAAGGGTAGCGGGCCATTAATTGCGGCTTTTAGTTCAATTATTTCCACGGCGTGCCGACACGGGCCTGGCCGGCGGGAAAAGAAGTCGATAAACGACCTGTTAATTTGTTGTAACTTAACCGATTCCGCGAGCGTATGCAGCGCACGAGCGCCCCGCCGTAGCCTGCTAAATGCCATCCCGGTTTGGGAACCGGTTTTCCAACCGTGTGCACGACTTAGGACGCGCGCGCGAGCCTTGCCGTTGTTGAATTTATGTACGTTCCCCTGTCGACACGCTCCGCTACAAACGGTGACTCGCGTTAATTGCGTTAATCTTTCTTCGAACGATTGCCGGAACAAAAGATGTTGTCTTTTGGGAAAATCCTGTCAGCGCAGATGGAATATATATATATATATATATATATATATATATATATATATATACACACGTGTATATATGTATCATGCAAGGAAACTCTTGTACATCGTCCGAAAAAGCTTTTGTTTCTCGTCTTCTGGCCAACTAATCTTATATATACAGTGGGCCAAAAATCCTACCTAAAATAAATCTGTAATTTTCAATTTAATTGAAAATTAATAAAATTAGTTTTTTATATTTTATAATAAAATATCTATATAGTTTCTTATATTTTATATATATAAATTTTATTTATATAAATATATAGTTTTTTTTTATTTTTATTAAAGAAAACTAAGGTGGGAAGAAACTTTTAGCCCACTCTGTATATATACATACGTATACATATATATATATATATTTATTTATTTATTTATATAATAATTTATAATATATACATATATTTATACATATATTTTTTAATAAATATTTAAATTAAAATTTTTTTTTAAATAGAAATATCAGAAAAAACTAATTATATTTTAAATTAAATTGAAAATTGAGGATTTATTTTAGCAGGAAGTGATTTTTTGTCCACCCTATATATAAGGCTAGTTGACCAAAAAGTAACTTCGTTTCTTTGTGTGCGGAACGAAAGACGAGAAACAAAAGCTTTATTGGACGATATACAGGTTATCCCTATAGCTAACTTAGCCCTTTAATAAGAAAAACAATTTCTTTCGAATGATTTAATATTAATGATTTAATATTAGATTTAATGTTAATGATGTTCAAGGATTAATAGACTCCTTTTTAACACTGGAACTACCACGATGGTATGACTAATTTGTAATTTTTATTAAATATTTCTCAGTGTATCTTTAGAGACTTGCATGACTTTTCGTAAAATGTGTAAGTTTGTGTACTCTATTGTATTACAAGCATCTTTTTACTTTAGTGTCTCCGATGGAAATTGTAGGCTTTCAGAAATTTCTACATGTCCAAAGTTAATGTAACTTCCAACACTCACAAACGTGCACTTGCATCCATTTCCAAAAGAGAAAGCAGCCCGCCGTTCATCGATAACACGAGTCTCGATGTGTTCGTCGCCAATAACAAATAACATGCCGCTAAACAACAAATTGAATTGTCTCGTTGGACCGCGTACCAATCCCAGCGATTACTTCGCGTAATGTAAATTGAAAGGTAAAATAACGGTCAGTTATCGTGGTCAGTTATTGTGGATACAACAGGGGGGAACGAATTGCGTATCGTGTGTCGCTCCGCTCCCTCCATTCGTAAGTTCGCGCGCACGCGACGCGGGATCACGTGGGCACGCGCGCATGCGCGCTACGAGGTCCCGTACGAAACCGAGCGGCTCGCGGGAGAGACGCTCGCCGTATATCAGCGAGGTAGATCTCCTCCCAGTGTCCCACGTATGTTTTACGTGACTCGATGCACGCGTGCACGTATTCACAACTATGAATCTCCCTTGGCGATTGCAAGGAAAGTTGTGCGTACGTCCGCGACTTCCTGGTTCGCACCTGACCGTGCTGAGACTAATTAAAGAAACTGTTTGCCCGGTGCGGCACGTCTGCTCCCCTGTCGCGGATGAATGAAACCGGGGTTTTGATCGAAAATCAACGATAATAGAGAAAGAGAGAAGAATATATATATATATGTTGTTGCTTAAAGTTTAACCTTTTGCACTCTAAATTATTTTTCAGTTATTTTTTTTTCTTTCTTTTTTTTTTAGCAATTTAAAAATACCGAGTGTGATGAAAAACTGATGTCGAGTCACACTCGACAAAGGAGTGCAAAGGGTTAAATTTCAGAAATAGGTAACGGGAAAATTTCGCGTCTTAACTGCAATCTATATGGTCAATGGAGATTTTGTTTCATTTATTTACTACAATATTAAAATAAAAAGTATTATTAAATTTATATTAAAATTATATTTATATTGAAATAAAAAATATTAAATTCATATTAAAATTATATTTATATTAAAAAATATTATAAAATTTATATTAAAATTATATTTATATCAAAATAAAAAATATTAAATTTATATTAAAATAAAATATTTACTAAACTATATTTATTTACTAAAATAAAAATTTATTACTAAAATTGTAATTGATATACTGTATTCGGTAGAGTTCGTATTCTGTGTATCTTTGCATCTTTCAGTATATAAATAAAATTCGAAGTATGCATAGAAGGAAGATTGGCCAAACGTAAAGCGATTGGTCTTGCTTTGCAAAGGTAACTGAATATATTTAATAATGAAAAAAATAACAGACTGGCGAGAAAAAGGGAAAGATATAAAGATACATCGACGATTTTGTGAGGCGGATTAAAAAAATATTTTTGAACGATAAAAACTTTGAGCGTGAAAAATTCAGAAAGTACTCGAGTTTTTCGAACGCGAGAAAATCCACGAGAATTCCACGTAACAAACTTTGATATCAAAATGCCACTGTATAATTTATTCCAACAGGCAATCGGAAAATTATACAACGATCGTAATATAAGTTGCCCAGGTTGAGAAAGAAGGAGAAGAAGAAGAAGAAAAAACAAAATGGACCAAGCTGAATATCACCAGCTGAATTTCCTCGACAGTCCAGACAAACGAGTCATAATTTCGCGTTCACGTCTAAATTCTAAAAAGGTTCGACTGGTTTCTCGCGGCGGCTTACACGAGCGTATCGATAATGCTAATTTATTATCGATTTATCGGTCAATCGTGTCGCCGGACACGCACAGGCCACGATGAAAACGCGCGCAGGTGTCACTTTCACGCCTTTTTTGGCAGTGGTGCATCCGACGTGCAATAGAAGGAACGCGTGCATGCAAAGACGATGCACACGCGGGGATCGCGTTACCGAGGATGCAGGAATCCGCAACGCGACCGCAATTTCCATCCTATTGGCGAATTTTTTACCGCGTCGAAAAGAAGACGAGAACGAAGAAAGCAGTGTGTATCGAATTTAATTTGTTGGATCGAATTTAATTTCGTCTCAATCAACGTTTTCTTTTTTTTTTCTTCTTCTTTTTTTCTTTCATTTGCAAAAGATTATTCTTTTTTAACCTGAAGATGCGTTTTTGTTAATTTTCTGACTTTAAAATAATAACATAATATACAAATGTGTTGCATTGCATGCAAATATTTGCATGAAAAAAAAAAAGAACGAGTATCGAATTTAATTTCGTCTTAATCAACGTTTTCTTTTTTTTTCTTTTTTTTCATTTACGAAAGATTATTCTTTTTAAACCTGAAAATGCGTTTTTGTTAATTTTCTGACTTTAAAATCACGACACATAACTATACAGATGTATTGCATTGCATGCAAATACGTGCACCATGAAAAAAAAAGAACGACGAAAAAGGAGTATCGAATTTAATTTCGTCTCGATCAATGTTTTCGTTTTCTTCTTTTTTCACTTATGAAACGTTGATTTCTTTTAGTACGAATATTGGAAGACACATCGAATTTAATTTCGCCTCAGTCGATGTTTTTTCTTCATTTACGATACGTTGATTCTTTTCAATACGAAGATTGGAAAAGAAAGTACATCTTTGTCAGTACATCTACAATGTTTAATATATTGCATCGTATTATATTGCATACAAATATACGTTCATTATATTAATGTTTAAATTTAATACTTATGATGGCGTAAACTCAGAGGCTAGCAAACTCTAATAACAATTTACAAAGTCTTATTTTCTGTTACGTGTAAAGAAACAGAAATAAGAAGTGAAATTGGAAGTATTTATCAAAATTTGTAAATTCGTAATTCATTTCTTGTCAGTTGCTGACCAGTGAAAGTCACCAATTATTATAAAATCATCATACTATCATTTTATGATTAGTATAATGATTTTATGCTATCATTTATACTATATACTTTATATATTTTATATTATATTTTATATTATATTCTTTTTATAATTTTATACTATCATTTTATAAGTAAGTTTACAGAAGTAAAATATATGTAAAATTTAAAAATAGTCAAAACAGAAGTAAAATACAGAAGTAAAATATATGTAAAATTTAAAAATAGTCAAATAGTCAAATATAGTTTTTTAATACAGCGTTGCAAGTATTGGAATGAATGAGAGAAACGAATGAGTGAGAAAAGAGGAAAATCTGTACACCAAGTCCACATTTCATGGCTCTGAGGCCGAAATAAAGTTTATTATTACTACTATCATTTTATACTGTATATTTTTATTTTATACTATCATTTTACGATAAAACTATTTTAATTAAGGATCAAAGAGTGGAATGTTTATTGAACACGAGGATTTATTTGCTTGAAATTAATTGATTCCGGCATTACCGATCTCCCGTGACCTTCGTGTCAGTCAACGTGTTAACCCTTTCGTTCGGTCGGTATGCTATCGCTGATAGAGTCGAGCCTCGAGTCTCTTGTAAACAGAGTGCAATAATATGCAAATTGAACGAAATAACTTCAAGAAAACCTGACTATCCAAGTATAAACTGTGCTAGACGCAATTATTAGAATTATTAAAAAAGCAGTTTCAAAATTTAGCCTCCAACTGAATTGTGACACAATATTCAGAGATATTTATAAACGACAAACAGTCGAATAACGAGAAACGTCGTTCTCGAAAAATTCATCAAATTTTTGACGCAAGCAATGTTTACAAATTCTTTGTCTCTCCTCTAAACCACGAACGACGACAGTCGATATCGAATCAATTCGTTCTCCAACTGCGAGACACAACGATTCGAAGAGAAGATACTCGATCTCGTTTCTAAACCACAAACGATGACAGCCTAAGAATCAAACCGATATCGAATCAATTCGTTCTCCAAAGTCCATCCAGCTGCCAAGTCGCAAACAATCTTCGAGGATACTCTTCCGAACCACAAACCGTCTAAAAATCAGTCTCACGTCGAATCAGTCCGCTCCTCAAAATCCGCCAAGCTGTGAAACAGTCATAGACGTTCTGTCTACTCTGAACTACGTAACGATCAAATTAATAACGAACGAATTATTCTCTAAAACCTAACCAAACTTAGACGGACGATGCTCGGTCTCCTCTAAATTGCAAACTGCCAAACAATTGAACTAACAATTAACGTCCGATCGCTGTTGGAAACGCTCGTCGAATTTAAATATTCCGAGCCACTACCTAACAACGTCGAGTAAATCTTCCCTCAGCATCCATCGCGTGTTCTAACAACGTTCAAAGATCGGTTCAATCGAATTGGAGAGCCTGGGAAAAAAATTGGAAATCCGCCGGGAGTTTCTTATTATACAATTTTTTATTACATGCGTTTCTTGTTATACAATAGGTATTACGTTGAAGTATTATCTGCCACGGATCAGTTGAAGCATATATACATGTTTTATATAAAGTTTTATATAAATTAAATTTATTTAAAACTAGATATTAATAAGTACGAGAAACATTTAATTTTTAAATATATATTTATTTTTTTCATTTAACAAAAAAAAAATATATATATATGTAGATTATTTACTTTCGAGATAATTAAAATTATTAAAATTAATTAATTAAGCCTAATATATATACATGTTTTATATAAAGTTTTATATAAATTAAATTTATTTATTATTAAAATAAATTAATTAAGCCTGATATATATATAAATGTTTTATATAGTATTATATAAATTAAATTTATTTATTATTAAAATAAATTAATTAAGCCTGATATATATATACATGTTTTATATAAAGTTTTATATAAATTAAATTTATTTAAAAGAAAGTAGATATTAATAAGTACGACAAACATTTAATTTCTAAATATATATATTTTTTTATTTAACAAAAAAAATTATATATGAATTATTTACTTTCGAGATAATTAAAATTATTAAAATAAATTAATTAACCCTGATACAAAGGGTACAAAATAAATTTTACTTGTTTATTTTTAAAAAAATTCATTTCCATCACTTTAAACTATTAATGATATTATTAATTTTTATTTATTACTAAAAATATTTTTATTATAAAACTAATTTAAATATAATTAAATATATATATGTATATAAATGTATATTAATTTATATGTGTACATAAATAAATTTATATTTTAAAGTTATAATCCCAAGGAAAGTACTAAAACGCTGAAAGCTACCTGTAGAAGTTCTACAAAGAGCAGACGCTCCCTCTCGCGTTCTAATCGCGAATCGGATCAGAGAGAGCGGAAAGAACGGCCTAAATAGCCTACGTTTATAAGACGTAAATTAATTGTCCACATACGAGGCCACAAGTGAAAAACGTTAATTCACTGTATCAGATAATAACGAAATGATGGTTTAGTTGCCAGATGTTCAAACGAGTATAACATGTATATCGAATACGATCCAAATCAAGCAAAGTTTGATAAGTAAGATAAACGAGTGAGGCCGGCGAAAATGATTCCGAATTGATATCGTCGTCCCTGTGCTACGCACGCGTGTGTACACGCGTGTACGTTGAAAGCCGAACGAGCAACCCGCCGAGACAATTTCCATCGCCTTTTCTTTCCGTAATCAAACCGTCCGCGGCTTCTGTGCAATTACGTGGCGAAATTGATTTAAAATCGGATGCCACCTCCACCACCTCCTCCTCCTCCTCCTCCTCTTATGGGGAACGAAAGGAGAGAGAGAGAGAGAGAGAAAAAGAGTGGATCGCGTTACAATTTTGCTGAAACGTTGCGGGAAGAACGAAACGAGGAAGCAGCGAATATAATTACCCCGACGATTCGCTTCACCCTTCTCGTACTCGTTCTCCCGTGCCTGTTAATGCGCTCCCGACGTGGGGTGGATAATAAATTCGTCGATATTGTCTGCACGCAGCTTGCCTCGAGGACTTCCTCCTTTTTTGCGTTGCATTATTTGAACGATCATTAGACTCGGATGTTAATAACCACGTTACAAATTAACGAAGGAAATTCGATGATCAATTGGGAGGACGTTTCAGTAGGGGTGTATTTATGGAGGAGAGTTCGAATAATTTTTGTAAAATGCAACAGTATTGGCTCGAGTCGGAAGATCGTTCGGTTCTCCGAAGATAATAATAAAGAAAATAAAAAAGAGATAAAGTGGATTTAATTGATAGTAATTTAATACTATGGATAGTAATTTGTACAAGGAAAATCGACTACATCGGAGCAATCCAATTTTTCTTTTTTTTTTTTTTTTTTTTATGAATGACGTGCCAGGCAAGAGAGAGAATTTTTTGTTCCAAAATTGTAATATTTTCTCAGTTTTAAGTGAAACAAAATAGGCAAAAGGAATAATAAATTTATTATTTCTCACTAATCTATCCAGGCGATATTATACCGACGAGTTCGAAAAGAAAGCGACGAATTATTGATCGGTTACATTACGGTTTGGTCACTCGTTATGGTCCGCAATCTGTTTGCCAACGCAAGTGGTTAACCTCTTGCGCTGGAATGACGTGCCACGCACGTCAAGAATTTTTTGTTCCAGAATTGTATATTTTTCTCAGTTTTAAGTATGTTTAAGTAAAACAAAATAGGCAAAAGAAATAATAAATAATAAATTTATTACTTCTCAATAATTTCTATCCAGGCGATATTATACCGACGAATTCAAAAGAAACAGAAAGCGACAAATTATTGTGTACGGTTCGGTCACTCGTTATGGTCCGCAATCTGTTGCCAGCGCAAGTGGTTAACCGCTTGCTTTGGAATGACGTGGCACGCCGAGAATTTTTTGTTCCGAAATTGTAATATTTTCTCAGTTTTGAATAAAACAAAATAGGCAAACGAAATGATAAATTTATTGCTTCTCAATAAATTTTATCCAAGCGATATTATACCGACGAATTAAAAAAAAAAACAGAAAGCGATGAATTATTGCGTACGGTTTGGTCACTCGTTATGGTCCGCAATCAGTTGCCAACGCAATTGGTCGAAGAAGAAAGATCAGATAGTACGAAATGTTCGACTCCTGGCGTTTTGAATTTTAAACAGCGCGGTACACGAGATCACCGATACCACGTAAAAGTGATTCGCAAAATCATCCGGGAAGCGGGAAGTTTCTCTTTGTTCTTTGTTTCGAAAAGATGAAATGGCAGACAAATCACAGGATTGCAAGTAATCGTACCACTCCCATTGTGCGAACGTGCGCTTGAAATATCAAAAATCTCAAACAAGTTCATTCACGCGCGAATGATGAAAGTTTACTGGCGTGTTTGTCAAAAATCCAGACGAACTTCGCAATCGTGTATGTTGATTTTCGCGTTCACCTGGAAAAGTAATAGCCCCAACAATAAGGGGAGGAAAAGGGATGAAATTGGACGGAGCGAAAAGTTAGAAGCGAGATTTCTGTCAACGAAATCAACGACAAAGCTGATGATGTCGCCCAGTTGCCGGGGAAACACTGTCTAATTAATGAAGTTGTCGAAGCACAGAGTCGGAGAGAGGGGGGGAGGTAGGGGGTGGTTAGGGGTGAGCGTGTAATTACACAAAGCATTCGCTGGAAATTGTGCGAAAAGTGATACAACTCCCTTTTGCACGGTAAACTTCAATTTCGTCGGCGATAAACGCAGCTGCCGCTGCATTCAGAAAATTCGAAACAAAGGGGCGAACGAAAGCTCGAAAGGGGAGGGAGGTGAAGCGCGCTCGTCCTTGGCGAGTCTCGCGGTATCACGCGATTATCTCGTTTTTGAAACTTCGTTCGGGTTCAAGTGACGTTTCAATTGGAATAATACTCCGAGAAGGAATAATACCTTGGAGAGGCATCAAAATAAAACGTACCATCTGCTGTTTACGCGATTGTTGAGAATGAGATTCAATATTGATACATTTTAACATTCTACAACGAAAATTGATCGTTATACATTTCAGCTATTTTAAATAAGATTAAATGTTAATACTTTTTATTATTCTTTAACGAAAATTGATTGTTAAAAACTTTAACTTAGCATTGTGTGTTTTGTATGACGAGAACATGCGGGAAATTGAATATTAATACTTTTTGGTATTCAATTGATAAAATGAAATTGAATATTAATACTTTTTAAAATACTTTTAAACGAAATAAAATTGAATATTAATATTTTTTAAAATACTTTTAAATGAAATAAAATTGAATATTAATACTTTTTAAAACATTTTTCAATGAAATACAATTGAATATTAATACTTTTTGATATTCTTTAACGAAAATTGATTGTTAAAAATTTAAACTTAACATTGTGTGTTTTATATGACGAAAACACGCGGGAAATTGAATATTAATACTTTTTGGTATTCAATTGATAAAATGAAATTGAATATTAATACTTTTTAAAATACTTTTAAATGAAATAAAATTGAATATTAATACTTTTTAATATTCTTTAACGAAAATTGATTGTTAAAAATTTTAATTTAGCATGTGTTTTATATGACGAGAACACACGAGAAATTGTAATTTTCACACGATTATCTCTTATTTTTTAAATCTTGTTAGCAACTAGTTAAAATGACAAACAGTCGACGTTTTAATTAGAACAATGTTTCAATTCAGTTAGAAGTATCAAAACGTGCAATTTTCTGTATCTGCGATTTACACGATTCTTGAGAATAATATTAAATATTAATGTTAACAGTTTTTTATATTTTTTAATGAAAGTAGATTGTTGAACGTTTTATACGATAAGAGCAATTTTTTCACGTAATTATCTCTGAGGAACTTTGTTAATAACGAGTTCAAGTGATAGACAGTCGACGTTTTAATGAGATATATTCCAAGTGGATTAAGAGCATCGAGACAAAATATTCTATCTTTATGTTTTACTCTTGAAAATGGAGTTCAATATTAATTAACGATATTCTTTTTAGTTTGCATTCTGCATTTTAGTTCGCGACTGTCTTGTTTTCAAACTCTGTGAAGAACGAGTCAAAATAATGCACAGTCGACGTTTTTTTTAAATGAGAGTGATAGTTTGAATTAGTTTCAAAGTACGAGATAAAATTTTCGGTATCATCTTGCACGTGAGAACAATTTTTGAAAGTAGAATTAATTCGCAACTGAAAATGTCGTCGCAGCAGTTGACGCTGCGTTGTCCAATTATTAAATATTGTAATCTGTGCACTCTCTGTTCCGCGCGACCAAGGGAATGAAATTGAAGAGAAAATAGAAATTAAAATTACATTACTGGAAAATGAAGTTGAATCTTTAATTCGAAGTGTTGTGGACCAGCGATAGAACAACCCGAGAAAAAAAGAATGAATCTAAACGAAGATTTATTTCAGTCATTATTAAACAATAGACTCTAGAATAGAAATAGAATCTGAACGGATGTTCAAGTGAGATATTCGAGAAATTTTCAAACACGATTTTCTCGAAAACTCGAATGCTCTGATGAACGAATTTTCATTCTCCTTTCTATCGAAAAGAAAATTGAAAATGGACGAAAAGGGACGAAATTTTCATCAGAGACGTTAAAATAAAGGAAACAAAAAAACTTTATGATACAATAGCTTTTACACAAGCTTTTATTTTACAGAGAATCATTCGAATCTCCAAAGATACACTGTTTTCCATTTAAAAAAAATATTCAAATGGTTATTTTGGTAATTAATACAAATATACAATTACGATTATTAATTATTTTGACCACTCTGAGATTGTCCCATTGTTAATTTCTTGCGCTGGAACGACTTGCCACGCACGTTGAGAATTTTGTGTCAATTGTTGAAAATTGCAATATTTCCTCAGTTTTAAGTATAAGGCAAAACAAATGATAAATTTATTACTTCTTAATCATTTCTATCCAGTGATATCGTACCAACGAGTTCAAAAGGAAAAGAAAGCCACGAATTATTGGTTCGGTCACTCGTTATGGTCCGCGCAATCAGTTTTTGCCAGCGCAAGGGATTAACCTCCTGCGCTGGAATGACGAGAATTTTTTTGTCCCAAAATTGCAATATTTCCTCAGTTTTAAGTATATTTAAGTATAAGGCACAAACAAATGATAAATTTATTACTTCTTAATCATTTCTATCCAGTGATATCGTACCGACGAGTTCAAAAAAGGAAAAGGAAGCGACGAATTGTTGTATACGGTTCGGTCGCTCGTTATGGTCCGCAAACCAATTGCCAGCGCAAGGGGGTTAAAAATTCCCCCCACGCGATTCATTTATTCGTACAACGCGTAAATCACGCCCGTGCTCACTTTGCGCTCGGAAACGTCTGACAGAATTGCCTGCAGCTGGAGGGTTAATAGGTTAACTTCTCCGCGAAGAATGATCGCGCTTTGCAAACGGGTCAAAGAAACACAGTTACGAGGTGATGAAGAGGTTTCTACGCCTTTGCTCAAACACGTATCGACAATGTGGTGCACGACGGGTATCCATCGTCTGGTGGGCCCACGTGAACGACACAGTTGCCATAAGTTTGCCAACGTATGCATATCTCTCTCTTTCTCTCTCTCTCTCTTTCATTTTCTGTCGCCGTATCGCCGCTGCATGATTTATCGGCACCGGTGAAAATGTGTTTTCTCGCGGATAAATTCGTCGTTGCATTAAACGACTTGCGCTCGTTCGTCATTGGAAATTCATCGACGTAACGGTGAACGACCGGAGAAGATAGTCCCGGGCTTCCGGTTTCTGAGCAAATTTACCAAAAAAACTCGTTGATAACTCGCGGATAATTGAATTGGAAAT